CCTCAAGATGCAACCATGTCACCTTCCTATAAGTGAGAATCACAAGCTGAAACAATTGTCTTGAATTGAAAATAAACAGAACAGATTTATGTGCCCCAGAAAAGTAGAAGATTTAATGATAGCAACTTTAACAACATTTGCAAGGTGAAAGTATGTTTTCTTTTCTTTTTTTTTTTACAGAAAGAGATACAATACAAAAAAAATCAATATTGGCCATATACAGTATGATTTTTCTCTATTCAGCCTTTATTGGTATTGATAATTTAGCAAGCAGTCTGTAGACATTTGTCTTCCACCTCGTCTTCTTCGAAGTACTGTAACCAAAAAAGAAAAAGATGTGTTACATGCACACAAAGATAAAAAATTGCCCTAACTATTACATATCTTTTAGTTTTGTGCAAATAAAAATACCAGAATACTCCCTTCACATTATTATTAAAATACACCAGTGCACTTGCCACTCACAGTTCCACGTTATTGTCGGTTTTCATAATACAAGCAGTCCTAAAAATGAATTGAGTTATAATTAATAGAACATTTGTAATAGTAAATTAATAGTCCATAAATAGTAGATTAATTTTTTTAAATCCTATATTAGAACACTGGGGAATAATAATAAAAAAATGTTTACAATAAGTATGCAGGCTCCCAAAAGTGTAGCTTTCATTTTGACTTCCAAGCTTCTTGGAAACCTCAGTACAAAATCTGCACCTGCTGGTCCACAGCCTGAGAAAGGTTTGAAAATCTTGCCAAATGATGTGTTTATTGCTGCCCCATTCAAAGACACCAGCTGTGGTCACAGTATAAGACAAATTACAACACATTAAAGGCATAGTTCACCCAAAAATGAAAATTCTGTTAACATTTACTGTTTGGTAAACCATCTTTAACACATTAAAGGCCTGTTCACACCGGGACGAATTTCGCGCGCGTTATTCGCCGACGTTTAACGCCTCGTGACTAAACAAAGGGCGCCAATGTGAGTGTTCACACCAACGCGTAAAACGCCACGCGTAAAGGCGTCATTTTTTTAAAAACGCCTCGGGTTCGTTTTTTTGGTTTGACGCGCCGCGTCAAAAACTATCCGACCAATGAGATTGGCGCTTTTGCTCACGTGTCTGGAGCTTCTGAAGTTACAGTAAAACACAACTTGGGGGCGCTCAAACACAAAACGGTCTTGCCGAGCACCCATACGTAATGGCGAAGAAGATATACAGCGTCTACACTCTGCCGGGAAGAAATAAGACGAGGAAGATGTAAGGCTAGATGAGTAGAGCTGCTGGTCTTGTTGGTGTCTTTATAAAGAGACACCAACGACAATAAAGAACCATATAACAAACGCGACAAACTTGCTCTCTTCTTCTGAGTGACAAGCGAGTGTCAGAAGCGTAGTTGCGCAGCGCCACTTTGTGGACCGGGGTATTTCTGTTTTACATTAAGCGCCATCTAATGTCAGGGAATGAATTTGCGTGTTCACTCGGCTCATCGTCAGCGAAAATCGCTTGGGTGTGAACACAAAAAACGCGTTGAAAAACGCTGACGAATAACGCGAGCCGATATTCGTCCCGGTGTGTACAGGCCTTAACAGTGGTTAAATGTCTTCAGAAACCAGCACTGGTTTACAACGTAATCTTCATTCTGCTACTGTTTAGAAAAGTAAGACCAGCTCTGGCATTTAAAACCAAAGATATGTGTTTGTGGGTCAGGTTTTTTCCTTTCATTGTGGGGAAATATAGCACAACCTGAAATCCCCTACAGTGTGGGATGGACAATGAGCTTAAAATGGCTTTAAAAGCAAATCGAATTTGAGGTGGGATCAGGGTTGCCAGGTCTGCATAGCAAAAACAGTCCAAATGGGAGGTGAGGGATGGGTCTAAAAAAAAAAAAAAACCCGGGAACAGTGTAATAAAAGTAGCACAATTCCACGTGAAACACTGGCAACACTGTGGGGTACACAGGTAAGTTATGGGAACATGTTTGGTGTAATGGTTTAAGGGTTGATTAGGTGTTGGGGTCAAAAGTGTGATTACAGTAATTTATTACAGCTGTAATTACACACAGGTTTTTTTTATTAAACGAGTACAATTAAAAAACATGTATGTAAACAATACGTGCATTCTATCAAATGATTAATTTAAATCTCTAAGGTGGGACCAAATACTATTTTGTCATTTAAAAGGATACAAGTCAGTGGAAAGTTTGTGCATCACCTCAAAGTCTGCATCCATGCAGAAGGTACAAGGTACAAATGGTCCTGCAATCTTAAATGCTGGTTCACCTCGCTCATTCTCAATTGTGAATTTAGGTAGGCAAACTTGCCAGTTTTGTCGAACAAGTCCGATGGCAACGCCAGGTGGAGACTGAACCTCCAGCTAAAATAAACATACAGCATATCATATTACAGTACAACATAATCAAGGGGTAAACAAGACAGAGATAAGGTCATACCTCATTATTGCTGCAACAAACAAATGGTCGCACCAGTCTGATGATCTCTTGATTTGAGTCATTAAAAACATTCATTGTGAAGGGACGTGATCCACCATAGAAATTCCTGTTACAACAATCATTGACCTCAATTAATACTAAAAATGTTTTTTCCCAGTGTCATCCTTCACCTCATATCTGTTGTTAGACTTCATTCCAAAGAAAGCTTTCAAAATGAAAAGGTAGGAGATAAGTGTGTTGCTCATTTGATTTCACTGTATTTCATTCATGAAATGCTGACGAACAAACCTTCTTCAAGACTTTCTTCCAGAGTTTTTTCTTTGTAGACAAACAATTGATCAATCTAAAATAAACATGAAAATGTTTCAATCAAAATAACATACACATAACGATAAACATAATTATTTATTAAATTAAACAAGCATCTCCAGCCTTATCTGACCCAGGTTAAGGTCTCCAGATGAGAAGGACAGTGGTACGGGTCTGAGGAAGGCATCATTGCGGTGACCTCTGCAGAAATGTTTATGTATCAAACAGCTTTGTTAAACAAATTATTACACAGTGAAATCTATTGTGTATTATCAATAAAAAATGGATGTCATCCTTCATACACAACATTTTTATTTGATTCAGTGCACTTATATTTGTCTTTCATGGTCCCTTGTGAAAAATAAGTGCTTTATTATATTGAATGTGAACGTGTAGTGTACTTGCAACAAAATTGCAACATCATCATTACAAATGTGCAATTACAAATATACTTAAATACATGACATACAAGTTTAATAGAAGTTAGATTATATTTTAGTTGAAATGCCTGTCAGAACGTTTGGCAGTACACTTTAACCATATTTCAAAGACAATAGAAATAACATATAAAGATGTACTTAGGTCAAAAAAGGCACTCTTAAGTTATGCAACATTTAATATAACTTTAAAATTTTCATTTAATTGTAAATAACATGCAATTAAGTGTCTGAAAACATTACATTCATTTCACACTATATGGCCATGGTATTTCCATAGTGAGTAGCCTATTTTTTTTTTTTTTTTAAGTTTGCTAAAGTGTGTCTTATACCTTGCCTCGGCCATAGTCTGAATCCGTGCCTGTTGTAGTCAATCAAACAAAATCAGCATAGATAAACATACCACTTGAAAAACTCACCTGACAATTCCATATTTGATTTTAGACTGAAAGGAGACGGAGAGAGAATAAAAAAATAAAAAATAAAGGACATCAATATTGTTTATACATGTTAAATATCATTATTATAATTTAAAGATCATAATAAATCCAATGGTAGGCCTAAAAACTTCATGACACAAAAAAATTGCATTCATATATATATATATATATAAACATGATTTAAAATGAAATTATTTTAAAGGATCTCATATTGAGAGATATACCACATACCAGTGAGATACAAATATTTTGTTCGTCTGTGGCACTGCACAGAAAATGTTTCTCTCATGACAAACAATCTACCTAGCTTTTTTTTTTTTTTGTCAGCAAGGTGTTTGTGGTTGAACAGTGGGTTGACCCACTTTCAAGTTTAGTTATTTCTGGTTTTAACAGCTTGAAAATGTTCCGTTAATTCTGGTAATTTTATCTAAATAAATAAATATACCACATATAATTGCAGGCATTTGTCTTGTTTGCAACTTTTGGGTATCAGCTTTATCAAATGTCTCGTGATTGTTGCAGTTTGGACCTCATCCAGGCTATAAGGCAATTGATTTTTTTTTTTTTTGTAGTGTAGGTGCTCAGCTTTATACATGGATGTGTTTCTTTCTCAACAGCCTCAATTTGTCAGTTGACACTTCAACATGTGTTTCTGAAACCAAGAAACAGTGTACAATAGTAATATTTTTTTTCTTCCGTTTCAAACAGTTTTCATACAGTTAGTGTGGGAAAATTGACCATGGTTTTATTTTAGTAAAAGTGTAGCCATATTTGTAGGCTATATAACCATATAACCATCTACACTATAGATAGTGTAGCAGCATGTTAATTTGTGGTTAATTAATAGGAGTAACCATGTTTTATTTGTAGTAAAATGGTTAATTTTTGTAAGGGTTTGTTTAATCAGTGACTGCTTGCTTGTTCATTTTATATTTCCACATATCGTGGTTGTCGGAACATGCTTGCTGACCTGAGCCTCACTGTAAGTCTTTTTTTTTTCTGTTGTTGTTACATTATATGGTTTACATATTTAGAAGAATTTTCAAGTTTGTGCTTTGTACAGTGCTTTGAGCACTGACTGGAAGTGGTAAAGTAAAGATGTTATCACTAATGTCTTACTAGGCCTATCAATAGTCATGTTATGTCAATATGGTGGTGTGTCAGTTTTCTAGAAGACTATCTAATGTGTACATCATTTAATCACATTTCAAAGTTGTCATATATGATAACTGTAGTAATAAATATGTTATTTTGGTAGAAACAATATTATGAGCGACGGTACGTTTTGGAAGGAAGGAGGGACTTTTATTCCATTTCCGCTGTAGTAGCTTGCCGACCGGAAGTTGGATCAGGATCGAGGCGGCTGCAGTCGGTTCTCTTCATCACTCTCGCGCGTGACGGCCATCTTCCTTCAGCTCGAGAAGACTGTTCCTGCAGACATGGCCGACTATTCTAACGTGGCTCCGCCGTCCTCTAACTCCGGTGCAGGGATGAACGATGCTTTTAAAGACGCCCTTCAGAGGGCCAGACAAGTGAGTGCTTCGAAAGAGTCTGAAAATATGTTGTATCTTCAAACTTTCCGCATAAAAAACAAAATGAAGCCTAGCGAGCTCGTTAGCTAATGTGCTAATGTGAGGCCTTGATGCGTTGCAACAAAGAGGTTTCAGTTTAGCGTTTTTTTTTTAAAAAATTACTTCCTTATTTCAAGGTTTAGCGGAAGCAGAATGGCGTGTTACAAATAATACTTATATCCTATAGTATAGACTAAAAGGCAAACAAATAGTTTTAGCTCCACAATATTAGATATTTACGTGAGCTGTAACGTTGTTACACACAAACAGCCACTTATAACTTTAGGAGGAATTAGGCCATTGGATATAGGATGGCCTCAAATAGATTACATAGATGGTTTCGTTTCAGCCATTTTATAGGCTAAGTAAGCTAATTTATAGAAACAGCGAAACTTATTTTTTTTGGTGCTGCTAGGTCGAAGTAGTTTTGTTCAGGAGAACAGTAGACTCAGATAGGCCTCATACTGTTACATGTTTGTTGTGATTTTACAGAAAAAACGAAAACCGTTTAACTTTGGATTTCACAATATCTTTTTAGATAGCAGCAAAAATAGGAGGTGATGGTATACCCCCCTCTCCGTCCTCCAATGAGTTTGGTTATGGAGGACAGAAGAGACCCCTTGAAGATGGAGGTAAGTTCACAGGAGCCATGTTGCGGCTTTATTGTTGTGCATATTGGTCCGTGTAAACCACATTATTTCGTTTTTAACCCTCTTGTATTCTTAACTTGTGATCTTAAGACTTTTTTTTTAATTAATTGAATGTTATATTTAATATATTGAGCCTAGCCAAACCTTTAAGTCATGCCACATGTGTTCATATTTTCATTAAACACTACAAATGTTAAACTATTTATGCTGTAAACTCTGCATGAAACAAAATTTGTCATTCTCTTCAGAGAAAAATCTTGTAATTTTTATATTATTGTTGAGGACTGTTACTTTAGCTTAAAATAAATGGAACTAATATTTTAATCTTATTAGTACATTCAAGCACTAAGTCGAGCATGTGTCCAAGCAAGGCTTTCTGTAAAAATGCGTGGAAACGAAGTGTATTGTTGAAACAGTTATACAAAACTTGCCTATAAATAAACCAAATGCAAGATTCCCAACCAAGAGATGGCAAAAAAGAGCCTGATCTGTACAAACACAAAGGGTGCTGGATGGTCTCATCATGCTGCTTCAAATAACTTTTCCAGACGTATTTTCCTACCTTATTTGTGGTGTGAGCCGAGCGCTTACTCTTTTAAACAGTTTGGAAATTATAAATCTGTATAACTATAAAATAAATCTATAGCCTAAATAAAATCACAAAGCCACATTTTGTTTTGTTTTTCACTTTTACCTCAGTTCCACTGTTTTGCTTCTATGTTGGAAAGCTGAAAAAGATCACATTTGCCATGCTAGTTGTGAGAATGGCAATTGATGATACAGCAAGCGTACCATGTTCTTATGTTGGATAAAATAAATATAAAATGTCCACATTCACTACTGCTCAGTCTCTACCATTGTATTTGTGTCCTAAAACATATGTACATACAGGGCTGTGCAATCCCTAGTCGATGAGAACAGTGTTACTTCATATTACAAACACATTGACTATATATTTACCTTTAATAGGTTCTGCATTTGTATATATAAATATACTTTTTTTCAAAGCCTGATTTGTAACCCCCCAAAATTTGGATTTTTAAATTAATACATGTAAAAAAAAGTACATGTTTATTAAAGTAACAAATTAAGATAGTATAACCACATCAATTGCAAAAGATATTAAACTTAATGTCACTCAACTCCACCCTGCAAAAACAAATAACCTCACCACAATTAAAGGAGCAGGAGCTACACTGTTTTTTTTTTTAACCACAGCCTTTTCGAATCATGTCGAAATTTTTTTTGTGTCGAGTCACCAAGTTTCAATTCCAATTAAGCAGATTTTTTTTTTTTACATTAAAAATCAAAAAAAATCTGTCGGCCTAAAATGACTATCAGAGGGTTAAATGGTTTTCTTATGGATTGTTTGCTGTAATAGGCTGATATGTAGTAATTATATGGTTAACTTGGTCTTTTTGTCCTCTTTAGATCAACCAGAAACCAAGAAGGTTCCACCAAGCGATCGTAAGCAATGATTGTTCCACATTGAACTGATTACCTATTAAATGTGTTTTGCAAAGATGTGGCTATTTGGTCATCTTATAAGTTCATGCTTTTATTTGCACCAGCTTTTTCATCTGTAATGGGAGGCATGGGTGGCCCAAGGTACATTTATTTATTTTAAACAAAGTATTTAATGCAGATATATTTCAAATATTAATGCATTTGTTTTTTAAAAACAATAAGTACATTTCTGCTTTGCATATTTCTTTTAATGATGCTATCATGTCAATATGTAGGTCTATATCAGAAGAGTACAAGGTTCCAGATGGCATGGTCGGCTTCAGTAAGTTGTCCGATTCGTTTTTTCCGAATTCATATCCACGACTAGAGGCTTTGGAGGACTTTCATTTAAATCCCATCAATAATGCAGTGTTAATTAATCACTCATCTGCAGTCATTGGAAGAGGAGGAGAACAGATTTCAAGAATCCAGCAGGACTCAGGCTGCAAAATACAGATTGCTCCTGGTGAGTCAAAATGCTGTGCCCTGACATTGTGTGTCTGAGCCTGAGGCTCTTTGAAGCATAAATGAAAAGACTCTTATTCTGCACTCTACCCAACAGACAGTGGTGGCATGCCTGAGAGGTCAGTGACATTAACAGGCTCACCTGATGCAATCCAGTGAGTATCTCCACACGTTTAAAAACATTTCATGGTTAAAATGAGTATGGTGTTTTAGAAGTGGGTGAAAACAAATGTATGTTTTCCATAATAGGGGTGCAAAGAGGTTACTCTCAGAGATTGTAGAGAAAGGCAGACCTTCTCCAGCATTTCACCACAATGATGGACCAGGGATGTCTGTTCAGGAGATTATGGTCCCAGCCTCCAAAGCTGGTCTGGTCATTGGAAAGGGAGGAGAAACAATCAAACAGTTACAGGTAAGGTGCACAGATGTGGTTTATTTAGCAGACTGGTTTATTTAGCGTTCAATTAACCTGTTAAGCTTCACCAGTGCGTGGGCGCTCTGAAGCGTTTTTTTTTTTTAAATAGTTCAAAGTTACTATCATATTTAATGTTATTAACTTGACAAACTATACATAATTAAAAAGATATAAGACTCAAGTTTCAGTTTTTGACCACTATAGGCTTTATGCCGAGCGTCACGTGACCAAGCCGGAAAACAGATCACATCGCTTCCGATTCAGGTCTTTTGTATGTGCTTCATGAATTTTTTTGCGGTTTTACTCAAGATAACTTAAAAAGAGCAAGCAAAAATGAGCATAACCAATGTCCCTCGCATGTGCAGATTGATATTTAAAAGTTTTTTAATTTTTCTTCTTCAAACTAACGTTTAGATATTTAAATAGCATAAAACACCTATAACAAAGTGAACTTAGTAGGTTAGCTGATTACCTTAAAAATCCATAGATATTGTAGTTAGTTCTTACGGCCGTGAACACTTTCTCTGACAAGCGGATGCAATGAGACCTGTTTTCCAGTTTGGTCACGTGACGCTCGGCATAAAGCCTATTGTATTCTGAGAAACTTATAGTGACAGTTATGTCTTAATTTGTGTCAGGAGTTATGAAATTAAAAAACGAGTCGTTACCTTTAATATGAATTATGAGCGTCAGCTGCTCTTATTCAGAAAAAAACTCCCGTGCGATCGTCATGACAGCGCTTGACAAAACAACGTCCCTCAGGGCTTTTAGCTCAAACATGTGCAGATTTGGAGAAATATTGATAGATTCTCATAGGTTTACATCAGATTTCTATAGACAGGAATAATATTTATTGAATTTATACCCAAATGCGTCGATGTAATCATTATGAGCGCTGTATACTGTGATGTACTGTGTTTTCAATTCATACTGACAGTCTGAGGGCGCTGTGTGTTCAGTAAAGTCCATATATGGATCACATGAAGAGCCATAATCATGTGACATTCAGGAAGTCCTGACACAACAAAGCTATCAGAGATCGCTGTAAAGTGCAGATAAAGATGTTTTGAAGACAATAAACATGATTGCAATGATATTTGATTTACCTGTGTTCTTCGAGTCATGTCAGGTATTTTCATAATAATAGATTATATGTATAATGTAATGCTAATCGAGATAGACTTTCACAATTTGCAGAATACAATAAAATAATATATTTTCTATCAGATTTTTTTTATCTGAAGCCAAATCAGATCACAGAAAGTTATTTAAAACACTCGACTTGAACTATAAAGTAAGTTTAGAGTAAAAACATGATTTTAATCTCATAAATTGTCGTGTATTGATGGTGTGCTAAGCTAACATGCTAGCTAGCTCTGTGCACCTGCTAGGCTGCTAACGTTACCTAACTTCGCTGTCATTTTTATGATTTTTTCTAAATAAGAATGCTTACTGAAATGTTTCTTTTTTCAAAAAGGGCATTTGATACAGTTTCACTGTGAAGTGAGAACTTTTATAAAAGAAATGAGGGATTGAAACAGTGTGAATTGCTAGTCGTTAGTGATTATAATGAAGACAAAAGAAAAGCATATTTAGAGCAATAACCAAGCCGGAGAGGTGTGAATATGTGCAGGGGAGACTGAGACTGAACGGGGCTCGTTTTTGCATCACAAAACAATAGAGGCAATAGTCTGAATAGATGCTTATAAGATGACAATAAACACCAGTTTGCATTTTAGAGTAATCAAAATAAAGTCATATGACATGATCTTGAAAAACATTGAACTAAATACAGAGTTTTAGACTTATCATCTTCAGATTTTAAATATAACATAGTTAGACATGTGGCTTTAGCTGCAGTGCATTTCTAGATTGCTACAATGCCAACTTCAATTTTATTTTCATGAAGATGTTTCATAAAAATAAATGTATAATAACTTTACAAAACTTTGAAGCTATTTATAACTTTTTTTTCATTATGACAATAATTAATTCTACATTTACAATAAACTTCCAGGTGTCAGCTTTCAAATGAGATCTTACTTGTGCTTTTAGTACAAAGGGTTCATGAACTGTTTCAGTTTGGGTATGCTATATCTGGGGATTTTTCAAAAATGGGGTTGCAGCTTAACAGGTTAAAGCTGGTTTGGAATTCCTGCTTGTTCTCTGACTTCGGACCATAAAGGCTTTAATCTCTTTACGTGTTTTCCAGACATGTAATTACTAATTTAACTGAATCCTGCTGAGAGGGAGAGATATTCTTTCACCCATGCTCTCACTATTCTTTAATCCCTCCCTAGCTTGTACTATTCTGAACAATGTCAGAAACAAGTTTATTATTAAGTGCCTATTGCCTCGTAAGATGAATCGCTTGTATTCCTTGTTTGTGAGTCTCTTTGGATAAAAGCATCTGCTAAATGAATAAATGTAAAATTGTAATTGTTCAACATTTGTTTAACAGGAACGTGCTGGAGTCAAAATGGTCATGATTCAAGATGGACCCCAAAACACAGGTGCTGATAAACCGCTCAGGATCTCCGGCGATCCTTTTAAAGTTCAGGTGAGTACATTAAGGCATTTGCATTGCTACATCGTAATTATACCAAATTATGGATAATATATCTATTTTCAAATGTCTTGGTCTGTACAGCAAGCTAAAGACATGGTGATGGATCTGATCAGAGATCAGGGTTTCCGGGAACAGAGAGGAGAATATGGTTCTAGAGCTGGAGGAGGTGGTGGTAATGGCGGTGGCGGTGGTGGTGGAGGAGGAGGAGAAGGTGGTCTGGATGTAAGTACTGTTTGATGAGATGAACCTAATATTTTGACTCTTTGTGATTTTACACATTTAAATAAGTTTTTGAAAGGCAATTGACTATTGAAACTGTTTTGCTGTTGCTTTAGGTTCCTGTGCCAAGGTTTGCAGTGGGAATTGTGATTGGCAGGAATGGTGAAATGATCAAGAAGATTCAGAATGATACTGGTGTGAGGATTCAGTTCAAACCAGGTGAATAAGTTTATATGCACTTCAATGTAAAAGCGAAAACTAAATCGGATTCAGATCTTTGACACAAATGCTTGTCCTTTGGTTTAGATGATGGCACTACACCAGAGAGGATCGCTCAGATAATGGGGCCTCCAGACAGGGCTCAGCACGCAGCAGATATAATAACTGACCTTCTGAGAAGTGTGCAGGCAGGGGGCCCCCCTGGTCACGGTGGGGGCAGAGGGAGAGGCCGTGGGCAGGGAAACTGGAACATGGGCGGCCCTCCTGGAGGCCTGCAAGAATTCACTTTCACTGTGCCTTCCATGAAGACCGGCCTCATTATTGGCAAAGGTTAGCTGTTGCTGATAATTACTTTACCTTTGAAAGGATATGCAATTTTATGTTGTTAATTGGGTAAATGTATTAACTTTTTGAAATATTTTCTCTCTCTCTCTAGGGGGTGAAACAATTAAGAGCATCAGCCAGCAGTCCGGAGCCAGGATAGAATTACAAAGAAACCCTCCACCTAATTCAGACCCTAATATAAAGATCTTCACAGTCCGTGGATCACCCCAACAGATTGATTACGCCAGGCAACTGGTTGAGGAAAAAATTGGAGTTGAGTGCCTTGGTTTCCTAACAAAATTTAGCAAATTTTTTGGGTGAACATGAAATGCTGCGCAGACACAGTTTATTTCTTGCTTATTGACAAGCGCTTGTGTGAGGGGGTTATGAGATAGCCGCAACTTTAGTTTAAAAGAATACAAAGATGTTTTTCTTTTGGAGAACAGACTTTTTTTAGGGTGAGGGAAGGTTAATGTTTTTGATTAAAGATTATGAGGGCATATTAGGTACTACAGCATTATGTAAAAAAAATGAGAATTGTCCATTTTTATTTCATACCGACTCTAAAATGTTTATTTTGGTTTATTATAGGGTCCAGTTAGCCCTATGGGTGGCCCTCATGGTGGTCCTGGGCCCCACGGAGGTCCTTCTCATGGCCCTCCTGGTCCACAAGGACCTCCTGCTCCCATGGGCCCATACAACCCTGGGCCCTATGGCCAGGGCCCTCCTGGACCACAGTAAGAACTTTCTGCTTCATGATGTTAAGCATGTGTTGGTGTTTTCACTTTTTCTTAAGGAGTCAATTCAATTTGAGGTGAACTTAGTGCGTCTTATTTTTTATCCTCAGTGGTCCTCCAGCACCATACCAGCCTCAAGGCTGGGGCAACGGATACCCCCACTGGCAGCAAGGGCAGCCAGATCCCAGTAAGTGCTCATATCTGTGCAAATTAGGGTTGGTTCAGAGTGGTATCACTTAAGTTCTTTTCCTCATTGCTAGTCAAAGTCATTGCCACTTCAGTTGCCTGTTGGGGGAAAAATGAAATTGGCTAAGCGGTTGTTTGTTCTCCAGATAAAGCAGCAGCTGATGCTAATGCTGCTGCATGGGCAGCCTATTATTCTCAGTACCAGCAGCAGCCCCAGGGCCCCATGACACCCACCTCAGCAGCCCCAGGCACAACCCAGTCCAATGGACAAGGTACTTTTTTACCTGCACTCCACAAAAACGCCACCCTCCCTTCACTGTAGACCTACAGTCTGTTGTACAGTAGCACTTAGTAGGCTTCCAGTGTCGCCATATGTGCACAGTATAATGTTCTTTTTTTTTTTAATGGTCTTTATCCGTTGAGCTGGGGTGGCCTTTTTCGACTAGCACTCATGGACAGGGCAGTTTCTGAGGCACTCAACCTGTTTGTGCAAAGTGCGCCACCTAGCCAGGTGGAGGACTTTCTGCAGCCTTTGAAAAGAATGGTTATCAATTTCTCAAATTGACCCTTCGCTAAGCCCCGCCCTCCTTAGTTACTGTTGCTACGCCTGTCAAGCTTTCACGGCTGCCACGTCTATTACAGTGTGAATGCACCGGTGTCAGACATTCCCATGGAGATATTTAGTCATTTTTGGCGAACAAGTGAAATATCTGAGAGAGCAAGACAAAAGGGACAGCAGTATGCATTCGAGGGATATATCCACGACATATGCAACCGATTAGAGAATAATTTCATCAAAATTGAAGCTAAGGCCTATAACGTTAGGTCCCAGCGCAAGCAGCAGCCGCCTCCTTAGCAGACCATTCACATGGGAAACACACAAATTGAACAGCTATGTTCAACCACAGCAGAGTAAGTGAAATGTGAAAATAATCTAATAATTACAAATCAAACAGTTTATCCATCAATCTAACACCGGGAGAGCCGCGATCGGATTGGGGTAACGTTAGTAGGCCGTCCGCCGTCGATTAACAAAATGCTGAAACATATTTTAAAGTACCAGTGTTTCCTCTAGGATTTTTTCCAGCCGTGGTGGCAGGCCCATTTCGCCAGGGGGAGGGGGCGTGGCCCATTTTGTGATATTCCCATTGGCCACGCCCCCTTATCCCAGGTGTTTAAACCTCCCCTAAGCATTATAACATGAAAGGCGCCAATAAGAGCGGCAAAGCGATTATGCGCATCGCGTGCGCAGAATGATGCACTTGAAGCAACGCAAAGTCACAGCGCGCAGCGCTTCGCATTGAAAAGTTCAAAGCACAAAGCGAAGAGATTATATCTATCTATCTATGTTTAATGTATTATATCTATGCAACAGTTTATTGAGCCTTTTCTTTTAACAGTTTTAAATTTCAGTTAACTTACAGTGCGCATGAAGAACAATTCATTGTGCTCTCTACTCTAGTGCTGTAGTAACAGACACCCGGGAGAAAGGAATATGATTTAGAAAGCGCTATAAACTCCAGCAAGATAAAGTAATTTTATGCAAACCATAGACCTTTATCTACTAATAAAGTAAAATAATGGGAACATTGATCTTGAAGAGAGTGTCGTCGTGTTACTGTCGTAACCGAACGTGACGCGCTGTTTGAATGCTGAATGGAGAATGACTGAGGAGAGATGAGTTTCCATTAACTTTAACTTAACGACTTAAATATACATTTTTACCTCACATTATGCTATTGAATGACTTTAGAAGTCTTGGAATATAGTGCGAAAACGTTATGGTGCTTTACAATGTTTTGTATGCCTTTAGTGGGGCTTAACAATAACACACACAATATCGGACCGAGAAGCTGCAGCCGTGGCGGGATGATTTTAGGTGTGGCGGCCCGCCACGGCAGAATGAATGTAGCGGAAACACTGATGTCCGTGAGCCTCCGTCTTGCCTTTAATTGTCTTATTTTACGTTCAAATATATGCATTATGAACAAAGAACCGCCATTATTTCCAAGCAATAGGCGTTTTTTTTTGTTAATCCTGTCGACATTTAGTTGTGAATGGGTCTCCACACTGCTTGATCCACGCCCGGGATTTCTCCCCTTTGGCTTTTAGGTTTCGGGAAGAAAAAAAATGCCACCCCACCGTCCAAACTTTTAGAATACCGGGTATCAGATTTGCACAATCCATACGCACAACGCGTCGGCATGTTTCCCTCGCTCGAAAGCTTGACAGACCTCCCGCGCCTAGTTACGGTTGCTAAGCCACGATTGGCCAGTGGCGGTTTTCGGGCGTGGCTTAGCGAAGGGTCAATTGTACCATTTTTAACAGGTGACCCACAAGCTCCAGTTCAAAGTGGACAGTCAGATTACACCACGGCCTGGGAGGAATATTACAAGAAATTGGGTATAAATATTTTGTAGCTTCAGGTTATTTTCTTTGAGAGCAGGATAAATAGCAGCAGGGCTTGAATAGCCAATCTGTCCTGTTTAACTTTTGGAGTCTTGTGAGGGAAATTAGTGGCGTGAGAATTTTGTTTTTGGTGCTTGTCCACAGAAATATTGGTCTCAAACCCTGCTGTTCAGAATGAGGAGCTGTAGTGTCTCAACAGGTAGAATAGGATTAACACATTGACAACCATGAATGAGATTGTATTTCTCATTTTCGTATGCCTACAATGGATAAATAACTAAGTTTCCAAATTTGTGCCTAATATTACTGTATTTCAATGCCGGTTGCACTTATAAATAGAGCTGGGCAATAACGATAATTATCGCGATACAATTTCTCAAATACAACTAACAAAAGTTTGATAAATGTTTGATATAATGTTTATGTGCCAAAAGTGAAATGAAACAACTTCATTTAAACCACGCCTCATTTATTTGCTCTGTTTAAACGGCAGTGCAGAGCGTTCTTACTAGAGCAGATGATCCGTTTACTCTCGGATCGTTCTCGAGCACTAAACAGTGCTGTGAGAAGCTCTTGAATTCATTGAAGAACATGAATGTCTCTGTGATTTTAAACTAGTTTAAACCAGATGAAACGGCACTGACATTCTCGACAGCACTGAGAAACACGGTAAAAATTGTGCCATGAACGATCCAGTTAGGCTTTTCAATCTACACATCACCATCATTTACCATGGATTAACTCTTAACTGGCCGGCCCACGTTGTACAGCGGCCCACTGGGAAAACTTCCGGTGCTCCGGGTATCCTCATGGTATTGTGGCAGAAATGTGGTATATTCATATACATTTTTATATTATTAGTGTAGACATGTATTAAAGGAGTAATGGAATATGCTTGATTGTCATCAAGTTATAGCATTTGTGCATTTGTATTTATAGTAAACAGTTTATTTTTCATAACATGTAACTATGGTATTTACCGTGGTGGTTAGGTGTATATGTGGTTTTACCTATGGTCATCATGATCTAAATGAATAGTATGGATGACCAATGGTTAATTTTAATAAAAGTAGAGTCCTAACTCAAAGTCAGAATATTTAAATTTTACCATTGAGGTTTTCAATTTTTACAAATGTTACTGTTTTTGTTAGTAAACAAATTTACATCTGCATCCCAACTCGAGCTACTGACAAATGTGCATTTCTAGAAGACAAAACGTACTATTATTAATATTGTAGCTTGCACTGCAAACTCTGGCGAAGATGCGCATTATCAAAGTCGGGCAACACAAACTATCACCCGTTAGAACATGCAGAAAATAAGAACGTGGTATTTCTTGAGGACTAACTTGTAAGTCAACTTGTGCATATTTTGTAAAATGTAAGAAATATTTTATTAAATGCTTTGAATATTCTACCTCCGATTTGTTAAATGTTCACCTGATTTTGTCATGTTCTGAGAGTAAAGAGTAGTTTAAAACCACATTTAACTGTCTGGTTTTGACAACTTTTCACTCAGGAGCAAAAATCTGCCTTTTAAACTTGAAAGAAATAAAGATTTGACATTTATCGTGATAATTATTGATAGTCATTATTTATTTATTTTGGCCATATCGCCCAGCCCTTCTTATAAATATTAAATGTGAAATTACTGAAATTTGAAAACCTTAATCTTCAATGAATGTTTTAGTTGAACTGTTATTCTAATGTTAGTAAAATATTTGTTTCTTGCCTGATAAATTTGCTGGTAGACTTGGAGTCTAGTTGCATGTTTTGACCGGAATTGTCAGTAGATAATTCAGTAATATGTGATTGTTCTGTGTAGACTCGTGATTAACGTCTTTTAGATCTTGTGTCTTCAGGTCAAGGACAGCCTCAGCAGGACTACACGAAGGCATGGGAAGAGTACTATAAGAAACAAGGTGAGACATGAATATGAACGTTTTCTAAAGGTTTTGGGCAGCTGCAACTCTTTCACAGTCCTCTGCAGTAGAGCTGCTGTGGACTCGGCTGCCCTAGAGTAAAGCTGTGGGTTTCTGTCCCGGCTATCGGAGGTCGTGTGGCCGGGGTCGTTCCCCCACTTACAAACATTGTCATGGACTTCTTTAGCTTTAACCATGTGCTAAGCGGTGATTGTTGTTGTTGTTCTCTCTGTAATGCTTTGTGTTTGGTTTAATCTCAGGTCAAGCTGCTCCTCAAGCGGCGGCAGCAGCGGCGACGTCTCAGCCGGGAGGTCAGCCAGATTACAGTGCAGCGTGGGCAGAGTACTACCGCCAACAGGCAGCGTACTACGGCCAAGGCGCCCCTCAGGCGATGGGAGCTGCACCCCAGGCTCAGCAGGTACACTCCCACTAAAACACTTTGCCTTTTGCTCTCTTCAGATGTGCATGTCTACTGTTTTTGTTCCCCCCCTTTTTTTTTCTTTTCCTAACATTTACTTCCACAGGGTCAGCAGGTTTCCAGATGAGTCATCGATACAACACTTAACCAAACACTTTCCTCCTCAAACAGGCTTCTTTTATCTCTTTTCTTTCATTTATTTATTTTTATTTTGGGAGGGTGTTGCATAAATGTTTCTGCTCTTAACATGTTGTGTATTTCTTATGTATTTCTTCTGCACAGGGCCAGTAATGTGAAGTGGACATAAAGTAAATGCTACATTGTCAGAAAAAAACCTTTGTTAAATGTTTGGATGCAGACGCCATGATGAAGATCTTAATTTCATTGGTTTGAGTGTTTATGCTAGATCGCAGACCGGCTCCAAAGTCAAGTATATATATTTTTTTTTTTCCTTTTTGTTTTGCCACTCTTGTAAATGAACGGTTTGTTTTTAGTCGGGTAATATTGGTCATTCCAGCTCCTGTATCTCCTGTATTTCATGTAGTTTTGAGACTAATCTATAGTCATTTCCATGTAAATCATCTCAGTTTTAATATGATATGCCTGTTGTGTTTTGCAATAAAACAATGAAACCTCCTGTGTTGGTAAGTGGGGTGCAAAATTGGGCAATGTTTTGTGAAAATTTCATTTCCTGTTTTGGGATTTGGGGGGGGGGGGGGGGGGGGGTCTTGTATGCAAATTTACAGAAAGAAAATGTTGCTTTTTTTTTTTTTTTTCTCTTCTCCAACTGTCTACATTACCCCTGATTTTAAGTTTGATTCCTGGTCTATTTTAAAGTTGCAACTAAAGAGTATCAATGATCATTTGATTGCTTTGACAAATGGAAGGATATGGCTGTTTTATTATTTTTTTTGTACTGGTCATTGCTGTGGATGTAGGTGTAGGCAGGTTATCTAAGGCAAAGTGGCTTTGGTGTTGGCAAGGTATGTGATTAATTCAATAACTCTTCAGTGCTGTAGTGTTGCTCATTCTTGTACTGCATTTCACCTGGTTTGTTGAGGTAGTGTGCACTGTTAATGAGAGACATTTCCTCCCTCACAGGCAAGATTAGGAAGGCGGTAAGCAAGTATGCGTCTTTACATAAAATGTTCCTTATATATTGTGACTGCAATCATGTTGCAAGTATTTTAGTTTGTTCAAGTTTGCTGCTTTTTTACAGGGCAGGTCAAGTGTTCTGATCAACAGTCATGCCTTGCTAAATTACTTGTCCCCATCATATATTTTAAATGTCTAAAATCCACCAATTGTGTATATATTTATATCAATATTGCTGGCATTTCTAAACCGTTTTGATACGATTAAAAAAAGCTCAAATGCGAACGTGGACTACTTTTTTGTCTACCCATTGTTTGTTAGCATTTTTCCAATATAGGCCTGTAGGTTTTTGGAGACTCTGGCCTTCCACACCAGTGAAATGAGCTCTCCACTGTAAGTACAAAATGTACATGACTTTGCGGCCCAATTTGTTATGCTGTCAATGCATTGTCTTTGACTTACTGAAGCGCAATGTATTTAAATATCTTTAAATGTTGCCCTTTTTGGGTAAGTATGTCAGGGCTGTAATTTTGATTTTACATTCATTCAAGATAACGACTACCCTTTTCCACATTGGACTGTTATTTTTGCCATAACAGCATTGTGTGATATTTACAAATTGAGTCATTGCCATGTTGACACTGCTTTAGTCATTTAAGACTTGTCTCTGACTTCTCGTATGAAACTGTGAACTGTATCACTGTGTTTAAGTCAGGACGTCTGTAGAAACAGCATCGTTTTCCCATCTGAATTAACACTGACTAGACATTTTTTTGTGATTTCTACTGCCAAGTGTTTTGTACTGCATAGACCCATAAAGACCCTCAGCAAATGACCTCTTTCAGATGTTAATTAGTATTAATGTCCAATTTCTAAATCTGTGCCTGACCGGTTTGTGTGATTTGAGGTCATTGAGGCTGTCAAATTGATTCAAGTTCTTTTGATCTGACTGTTCAGTAGTGAGCAGTGCAATGTCTAATTTTGCAGTGTCATCCCTGACCTTGCACCTTAGGTTCTGCAGCAATAACACAGGTAAGAGTATCCTAAAAAATCCAAACAATTGAACCTGTGATCTAGTGTAATGCTTTTCACATTTGATACAGAGGTCAATATGTGCCGCTTTTTCAATTTAAGGATGTCTCTTGTCGTAAATGGACTGGCGTACGCCTCAAATGTTGGAATTTAGATCTGCTGGAAGTATGTTTTTGTCCATATGAATTGCATGGCATTGACCTGTAGCTCACAAAACAATGTTTTTCCTATCTTTAACTAGGATTGTTATGCTTTTCTAAATGAACCCAATGTGATATTTTTTTTTAATTTGATTGCCGATTTGTTAGCTTCCTGGTAAGTCTGTTTAGCGTGGTCCTGTTCTACTGTTATAAACTGCATGCAGATGCGAAATGATCCAGAGCTAGTCCTCTGAATGCACTCTCTGATAACTGACGTATACTGTATGTATGCTCATGTTTCATTGGTTTGCAAGCTTTCTTGATGCCCCTCTGTAGTGCTAATGTTTGTCCCACATTGCTGCCTTCATTCTCACTCACAGTGTTGAAGATGCTGCAGGCGTAGTTCGTAGAATCAGGTCCTAGTTTGTCCGTAAGGAGGAATCCTTTGAGTCTGTCCCTCTGCTGAACATAGACTGTTCAAGGGCTCCAATTATAAGGTAAAAATATATACCATGAGGAATCTGTCATTGCAAAGTCAATGTTTCTGTTAGTTTAGGGTGATGCCAGTTCGATTTGATTATAGAAATGTAGCCACATGTTTCTGTATTATTGGTTGACTAATGGTTCTATGAAATGTTCGAGTACATGCTTTGCCTTTTGTTGACAAGCGTAGGGATTTAATGTGCATCAATGCTGTACATGTGGACCATGACCAGACCAGGAACTTTTTTTCTTTTCTTTTTAATAGACATTTGCCAGACTGGTTTCAGTTAAATAGTTCCTTTAAACTTAGTCTTTGTCCATTGCTGCATATCTTTTTGTATGCATGCAAGATGTGCTTTCCTTTTGAGCAAATTGTTCACAACAGAATTCGTGGGGGTCTAAAAACGAAGAGAAAATCGGAGGCTAGCTGAGAAATTTGGAGCATGCCTTTGAGGTAAAACAAGCTATCATGAACTGTTAAAAGCTGTTGAATGTACTTTTGATTTTTTGCTGAGAATTGTTGGTCTGAAATGTTGAAGATTGTTGCCATTGTCATCAATAAAATTGTAATCATTACAAATGGTTAAGGTTTTTATTTCTCGTAGTGATTTCAGGGCTCCTTTTATACAATACATTTATACTGGCTTAACGTGGAGCAGTTTTAGCAGTTTTAACTCGGGCAGATTGCAGGACAAAACAGTTGCATTCAGGTCACAACACATTATATTTGTAAGGCTTTTAATAGATCATGTAATGAATTGCATTCACAACATCCACCTGCTCCATGTACTGCTCATGGAACCACTAAGAATGTAAAATAAATGTATTGCTAGTGTTGAATATTAGTTTCTATAAAGTGACCTACAGTAAAACAAATCCTATCTATCAAAATACTTCCAAGAAAGCTTAAGTCTTAAAACATCAAGGACCTTAATTCAGATCATTCATTGTGCAAGTTATTTATTAAAAGTCACAAATTAAAAACTACTGGAACACATTAAAGGGATAAAAAAAAAAACATCTTTGTCTTTTTTTAATCCACTTAAATACACAAACTTTACACTGCATTGAAATGGCACTAATAATAATAATGTGTGCTGGACTCAGCAACTGTAGGCAAGTACACGCCCCTGGAAATGTAAGGATGTGTCACAGCTGTAGCTCACTGAACCTGTGCCTCCAGTAAAGCACTGTGTACCAGGTGCAAAGGTGTGCCACTACAGCCGTTTAGGTGACGGATCATGTCGGTGCCCAGGTAGGCCAGAAGCAGCTCTGAGCGTCGGTGAAGCAGGTGCAGGACATCTTCAGACAGAGTGTCCAGACTAGAGTATCGCACTTTATCCAGGTCGAAGATGTCCTTTAGGAAGAACAGCACCTGCTCCTATGGGACAAAAGATAAACCATTGTGTTCCTGATTTACTATATTCAACAAAGTTGAAGATTATACCGTGGTCGTCTCACATGACCATCAGACCCCCTGATCATCAGCCGGATAGCCACTGTACTGTAAAGTTGAGTGCCAACCTTGAACTTTAAAGTATCAAGAGTGTTTGATTAAAGCTTAAACTCAGTAGGAAAGTGGATCTCCAGGAGCAGAACTGAGAACCCTGCTCATCAATTTTAACATTCAAATAAATGTCATGATGCTATTAAATGTGGTGACACATGCATCAGGCGTTCAGTGTATGTAGGTATGCCTTTTGAGACTGACATGCTTTAGGATAAAGAGGTCATCAAATTACACCTTACCTTGAAGAAGTCACAGAAATCGTGCAGGGAATTTTTGGGACCGAGAAACCCCCAGGCCAAGACCGGACTTATGTGTTCACACACTGCATAGAAATGTGCAATGAAGCCATCTTGAACCTGCGCACACCAAATGAAATCTTGTATTGACAATGCAAGACCTTCAGCTCTCTGTAACGTCTCCTCCAGCACATCTCAAAGTCTGGACTCAGAGATGCCAATTCATGTGTGGAAATGATTATTCATGCTCCTTCCAACCATTCTTTCACAATGAATCTTGACATTGTGATCCTGGAATATGGCCATGATTTGTTTTCCGACATTATTGTTTAAGAAATGAAAAGCTACACACTTCATCAATTAGGTTTAGAAGAACTGTTTCCAAACATATAACATGCTAGAAACATAATAATCACTGCAATAATGATCCAATCAATCCAAACAGTGACTTTTTTGGGCTGGGCAGTGGAAGATTTTACAATTTAGATTGACACTGAATTCATACAAAAAGAAAAAAGAGAGATACATTTCAAGCCAAACATGCGGGCCTTGACATCCTGGTTGCACATCTCAACAATACCTTCATATGTTGTCTCTTCTGCTTTAGAACGGACCAACAACTTGATGCAACAGCCTATGAAGGTAAAATAAAGTTATGAAATATTGTGTAATTGAAATGTCATTTTGTCGAATGATCAAATGTTAGAAATTCTGTACACACTGTCTCTTTGAAGGAGTTGTTGAGCCAACGATTGTTCACCACATTTTGGATTGAGACTGGTGGATTCTCAAGATCCTCAAATGAATCCATAAGAATGAAGTCAAGAACGATGTCATAGAAGTTGAGATGTTTAACCTGAAGAGAAAAAAAAACCTTCTTAATCAAGATCTTGTGTTTGAAGATACATTTTCAGGACAGGTCTTGTGTCAAATCTGTATAAAATGAGATCTCTCACCCCTCTTGCAGAAAGCTCAATTTCGGTGTTCTCCCAGTGGTCTGTTTGCTCCATGAAGCAGATCATTTCTTCGAACACCTCCTCAAATCTCTTTGGGCTCTGCAAACCACACAACACAGGTCTGTTAGGTTGGGGACGGATCATATGTGATCACACGAAACAGAAAGGACACTCACCTTCTTTGCTTTAACAATTATTGAAGACAATATCCTCTTTCCTGTGTCAGCCAGAAATGCTCTAGTTGCTCTTTCACATAAGATTACCTGAATTAAAATAAAAGGTACGGTTTAAAAGTTTACCCACACATTGAGGACACTTGCAGTCTTGTTGACTTGTGAATGGCTGCCACATGCACATGTCTGTGAAGTGCACAAGACCATAGGAAGAAGTGTCCCACAGACAGTTTGATAGAAATTCTAAAATTTTCCAAAACTTTGAAGTTCATTATGAACTATGAAGTTCATGAGCTTAGTGGCTTAGAATGGACTAAAACCAACAAAGCTGAATTTTGTAGTCAGGACATGAGAAAGGAGTCCTTTACCTGACACGCCTGCCGTATACAGTGCAGTTTCGCCAGGAAGTCAGTGTCTCCAAGGCATTCAAGCATTTCTGTTCTGATTTTAAAAGAAGATTACCAATGAACAACACAGTCTGCTGCATAAAACAAGCAATATTTGCAGAAACATGCAGATTTTTGAAACAGATCTGATCACATTCAAATAGCCAATAACTTGAACTTTGTTTAAGTGTCTATGTCAACAATATTATCTATAGCTAGTCTAGTGGACTACCGTAAAACTTCAAATAATAGCCGAGTCCCAAATAGACGCCTGTCTCTTTTACACGCCTGGTGTGGCTGCAGGTTTGGGTAAAAAAAAAGGCCGGTCTCAAATAGAGGCCAGGTCTGTTTTTTAGTTTCGGGTTGTATTTAATCTTATAAAACCCGTCAGATCGTCCGCTTTTTGGCGGCCGGCAAAGCACATTGTTGTCCCGCCAAAGCCATTTTTGATCGGTGAGTGATGTAGAATAGAGACTGCTGCGCTTGACAGGGCGCAAACGAGCAGAGAGAGACGTCTTCAAACAACACGAGTGCTGTCTTGCTCTCTCTCCCTCGCGCATATTAATCAAAATCAATTGACACGATAGTAAAAGGTCGGAAGACCGCAGTTTCACGTGGAGCATTTGGGGATTTTTAGAGATTAGAGACAGGCCTATACACTCAATGAACAACATCTCAACACTAAATTATAAAGGCCTGTCTCATATAGACGCCTGTCTCAAATACAAGCCGGTGCAGTTCGACGATTTGGGAAAATAAAAGCCCGGGCTATTATTTGAAGTTTTACGGTATATACAGAATTTATTATTGTGATTAACATTATTACATTTATACAATATGTATTTGATTGAACTAATGTTATGGATGTAATAAGCGGGATCATGTACAGCTGATGGTGATCAGGACCCTGACCCGAAGCTGTTAAGGCCCCAATATGCTTCAGGCCAAATTAAATAACGAACTGGTGTAATGTCATTTCGAACAAAATCAGGTGAAACAAAGTTCATTTGAGGTTCGCAACAGCTTGCCAAAACAAACTTTCCAACTACCATGGGTCTGTAGCGATTACTTAATAGGTGGGTGTAGATCCGGGGCTTTGACACAGAAATCCTCCCCGGTCACATGTGAGTAAAAACATGAACATACTGGAGACCTGCTTTGTAAAGTTGTAATTCTAATTGAAAGTGATAGTGAGATTTTGTTAATGTTTAATACTGTAAATCTGCTTGCGTTAAAGCAACCAATTGTACAAAGTGCTGTATAAATAAATGTGACTTGAATGGAGTGGTGAATTGCAGAGCTGGTGCAAACATGTCCACATCCCTAAGAACAGCTGCTCTCTTAACTGCTGTTTTTTCACCACTGGCATTTTTGTTGTGTGTTTATTGTGTTATTTCGAGGAAAGCATGCAGCACATATTTACATATTCATCTAAACTCTCAGCAGCATGTGCGGTGTAGGAATGTTCATTAACCGTATAGTGCTTTAAAAATACTTTTCCTTGACATACTGGACTCACCGTAGCACTCGACAGGAGATCTTCCCCTCCTCCGCCATCTGCAGGGCCTCCTCGTAGAAGGGGTGATGACACAGTGCATGGGCACTCCTCTCTCTGTGCTCAGATAACTGCAACAAATTACGAGATTTTTTGCAGAATTCTTTCAAATTGTATATATTTTACATCTAATATATTCTATTTCCTATATATAGGTTGGTGCCAGTCACCAACAAGATTGAGTGTCGACTAGGGATGTGCACCACGACTAATTCCATTAAGGTTTAAATGGACGTTTTGTAACCAACTTGTCTTAACAAACCCATAGAAGACAAAAGACAGTCTGTATAAGACAAAAGTCAATCCACTTAAAGTCCCCCTGTAGTCAATTTCATCCCTTAAAACTCATCTTTGACCCCAAAAATTACACATTTAAAAGTTTTTCCTAGAAAAAAAGTCTTCATGCCTTAAAATAGCTTGAATGTAATTCATTTAGTATTTGCGGTTCAATGAATATGCAAATAACATTAAAAACTTGATTTTCACCACAGGGGGACTTTAAAATAGCCTACATAATCTATGAATGAATCAGTAAAACCCCATACCGAATGCCGCAGAAAAATAGGTCATATACACTCACCTAAAGGATTATTAGGAACACCATACCAATACTGTGTTTGACCCCCTTTCGCCTTCAGAACTGCCTTGATTCTACGTGGCATTGATTCAACAAGGTGCTGAAAGCATTCTTTAGAAATGTTGGCCCATATTGATAGGATACCATATTGCAGTTGATGGAGATTTGTGGGATGCACATCCAGGGCACGAAGCTCCCGTTCCACCACATCCCAAAGATGCTCTATTGGGTTGAGATCTGGTGACTGTGGGGGCCATTTTAGTACAGTGAACTCATTGTCATGTTCAAGAAAACAATTTGAAATGATTCGAGCTTTGTGACATGGTGCATTATCCTGCTGGAAGTAGCCATCAGAGGATGGTTACATGGTGGCCATAAAGGGATGGACATGGCCAGAAACAATGCTCAGGTAGGCCGTGACATTTAAACGATGCCCAATGGGCACTAAGGGGCCTAAAGTGTGCCAAGAAAACATCACCCACACCATTACACCACCACCACCAGCCTGCACAGTGGTAACAAGGCATGATGGATCCATGTTCTCATTCTGTTTACGCCAAATTCTGACTCTAACATCTGAATGTCTCAACAGAAATCGAGACTCATCAGACCAGGCAACATTTTTCCAGTCTTCAACTGTCCAATTTTGGTGAGCTCTTGCAAATTGTAGCCTCTTTTTCATATTTGTAGTGGAGGTGAGTGGTACCCGGTGGGGTCTTCTGCTGTTGTAGCCCATCCGCCTCAAGGTTGTGCGTGTTGTGGCTTTACAAATGCTTTGCTGCATACCTCGGTTGTAACGAGTGGTTATTTCAGTCAAAGTTGCTCTTCTATCAGCTTGAATCAGTCGGCCCATTCTCCTCTGACCTCTGGCATCAACAAGGCATTTTCGCCCACAGGACTGCCGCATACTGGATGTTTTTCCCTTTTCACACCATTCTTTGAAAACCCTAGAAATGGTTGTGCGTGAAAATCCCAGTAACTGAGCAGATTGTGAAATACTCAGACCGGCCCGTCTGGCACCAACAACCATGCCACGCTCAAAATTGCTTAAATCACCTTTCTTTACCATTCTGACATTCAGTTTGGAGTTCAGGAGATTGTCTTGACCAGGACCACACCCCTAAATGCATTGAAGCAACTGCCATGTGATTGGTTGATTAAAAATGGTAAATGGACTGCATTTATATAGCGCTTTCACAGACCCAATGGCCACCAAAGTGCTTTACATTTTGCCTCCCATTCGCCCATTCACTCACTCATTCATACACCGACGGCGGTGTCAGCCATGCAAGGCGCCATCCAGCTCGTCGGGAGCATCTGGGGTTAGGTGTCTGGCTCATGGACACCTCGACACTTGGTCAGGTGGAACCGGGGATTGAACCACCAACCTTCTGGCTGCCGCCCCAGTGATAATTAGATAATTGCATTAATGAGAAATTGAACAGGTGTTCCTAATAATCCTTTAGGTGAGTCTACATGTGCTATAAAACACAATATGAAATGTGTTTAAATAAAACACATTCATGTTGAATCCCATAGAAAATGAAGGTCTGTGAGATGTGACTGACATACAGCCTATTAGGAACTGTCCAGCGTGCGCCACACTGGCACACAGACTTTCCTCTCACCTCTGCTGCAGACACAAAGGAATCTGTCGAGGCGATGCTGACTGAATCTCTGTGACAGTTGTCCTCCAAGTCCTCCCGCACAGAGAGATCCATGTGCGTGTCTGCCAGAGGAAATGAGGGAAGATTAGACTTAAGTGCCCTTATCTCACATGGGTGAGCAAACTGGTCTAATTCCAAAACAGCAGACAGCATAAACAAAGTCACATGGAGAGACTCAATGGAATTGAAGGACAAACGTGCCTATTGGTTTGCATGTGAATTGAGCGCATAATGCCTCATAACAATTGTAAACAATTGTAAGGAAACTTTCTGACCATGACCAGCTTCTTTATTTAGATACAGAACATGTTATATGCAGAAGCACAACATGCAAATTTGCACATCTACAGTACTGTGTCCAGTTCTGTGTTTAATGAAGAACTTAAGGCTCTCTCTCAAAAAAGAAAATGATATTGTTCCAAACCTGTATGACTTTCTTTTCTTCTGCAGAACAAAATGTATTTTGATCATACAATAAAAGTCAGTGTCTCCTGTGTTGTTTTGGATCCCAGTGATGTTCACTGGATGAAACATCAAGTAATCGAAACATCCTTCAAATCATCTTTTGTGTTCCACGGAAGAAAGAAAGTCACAGGTTTTCATCGACATTAGGAAAACCAAGTCACCATAGTCCATTTACACTTGCAGCTAAGGTTGCCAACTTCAGCAAACGAAAATAAAAGGACAATCTTGGTTCTTTACAGAAAAGTAAGAGTTAACGGGACACTCAAAATATAGTTACCTACAAGGTATAAGTTTACACTAAGCGTTCAACACTTGCAGTTCGGTTCTCTTGGTTCTTTGGTTTGTACCCACAAAATAATTGATACATTTAGTCCTGGTTCGCTTAGCGTTCACAGTCATAAGGACACAAAACAAAAAAACTGTTTTTATGATGTGCATTTTACGACGGATCTTACCGATAATTCAAAACTATGCTGTGTGCTAAACGCTTTTTACAATTGTTTTCAAGCAGCTTTACAGAAATAAACATGTCATTACCCATTACTCGTGTCAAACTGGTCTCTTGAAAACTGAAGGCACTGCTTATGCAATGGATCAATATGTCACACACCAATAAAAAAGTCAATTTTTAGAGTACAGTAATGCATAACAGAGCCAAGCCCAGTAATAAATGTTACACAAGACCATTAATTCACATTCACACAGATATTTATTGACTTTACATGACAGTCTTTAGTTTAACACTCACCGTTACTAGGACATGTTAAGGGGTCTGTCATTCCCAGCGCTCCCTCAAACTCCTCCTGGAGCCGATAGGCTCTCTGTAGCAGAGACTCCAGCTTTTGGATGAAATCTGCACTGATGATGTCCTAATAAACAGTCAATATTATTATTATATATGTTTTATGAACAGAGTTTCAGCTTAGGAAACTGTACATTAACATTGTTTTTAAATTATTTGTGTTTTTAAATAAGCATTAGTGTCAAGGGTAACCTAAATGCAAACTAGGGAAAATGAGCGTTAACAATTCAAATTTAGAAAAACAATAAATTACAAAAATGCCTAGTATTGGCTGAGAACCAATATGGTACCAATATCCAGCTTATTTTTAATGTAAGATCATTTGTAACTTTTTTTAACCTTTGTCATCCACTTCCAGTAAATTTAGCTGTGCAGAAACAGTCCGTTATGCTACTTGATAAGGCAAACTGGAATTTGTATCATTTTATCATAATCATGAACACATTAGTTCGTAGCACAAATAGTTTTATCATTTACTGCACATTGTTATTCTTCTAGTTATGTACCAATAGCAGCTAATGAATCAGATGTCTCGCACATTCACAGAAAATAGATTACCGTATTTTCCGCACTATAAGGCGCACCGGATTATAAGGCGCACCTTCATTGAATGACCTATTTTAGAAACATTTTCATATACAGGGCGCACCGGATTATAAGGCGCATAAGATACTGCAGTCAAACGTTTGACTGGGTTTGCGTTATGCATCCACTAGATGTGCTAAAGGGAATGTCAACAAAACAGTCAGATAAAGTCAAACTTTATTAAGCGTTCTGACAACTCCGTTCACTCCCATGGTAACGTTGTTCAAACATTAAAGGAGAACTCCGGTCAATTTTAATATTTAGCTAATTTTTTTGTAAATTTGGAGTGCTGTCAGTACAGATAACAACGACAAAAACCGACCGTGTTATCCTCTTTTTAAAATTCGCACCCTGTTGACTTAAACGGGGCAAGTTTTAAACCTGCTTTTAGCCTCTTAACAACCTTAATGTGTCATTACAAGTGCACAGCCATGTGAGTGAACACGGTGAATCTGACTGCAGTAAATGTGAAAGATATGAATAAAAATGATGTTTATTCAGCCAGCTCACATACCCGTATTTTCTTCCTGTTTTCGGTCGAAGTCCACAGTAGGCGACTGTCGAGTGCGCGCGCGCGATCATTGGTAACTAAGCAACAGTGGAGACTCAGACTGTCAGCTGTCAGCCGATGACGGTACTGTGTGGTGTTCTGAGAATATCAGCTCAAATGGATAGTTCATCCGAATCAGATGTTGAACACACGGAGGAGGTTTGATCGCGCGCGCAAACTCGACAATCAATTACTGTGGACTTCGACCGAAAACAGGAAGTAAATACGGGCATGTGAGCTGGCTGAATAAAGAGATTATTCCTGCCTTCGTGAAAGCTCGGATCACAGTTGAGACTGATATATCAGCCCAGGCATCCACGATCCATTGGCAGATAGTGGCGTAAGTCGGCCGGCGCTGTCTCCCCGTCTTGGTGAACGCGTGTTCACCATCCATATATAAGGCGCTCCGGATTATAAGGTGCACTGTCGTTTTTTGAAAAAATTATAGGCTTTTAAGTGCGCCTTATAGTGCGGAAAATAAGGTAGGTGGATATCATGCGTCCCTACTGAGGCCTGCAGTGTTTGGGGAGTAATACCTCCATGCTTTCTTCTGCAATGGCATCTCCAGCTCCCAGCTTGACCGACGCACAGCTGTCCTCATCCTCCGCTTGCCTGCTGCGGAATGTTAGTGCCTGTTCCCAGCGCCGCAGGGCCTCCTCGAACAACTCCATTCCTGTGAGAGGACACAAATATATCTATTCAACCTGTGTATTCATCTGCAAAAACTTGTGTATGTAAAAACTATGTGTGCACTTAAAGTATACCGCTGCAATGGCATTTTGAACATTTGAAAATGAGAAAGAACTCTGCCGTGAGTATACATGGGCCTTCATGAGACTGAGGGGAGAGGATGAATCAATTCTGCTGTGTGCTGGTTTTTACCCATCAGGTAGAGATTCTCTGGAGTGACAACAGGGATGTTGAGCAGATTACAGACGTCACCCTCATCTCCTGCCCCGTCCCAGCAGCTGGAGCCATTAGCACAGGTGGAGCTACTGGAGGAGTGCCTGCTCCTCCCCTGAGAGAATATTTCAACATCTCAATGGTGCACTAACGCCAAAAGGCACACATTTTACAAGACTACCTTTTTGTCAATGGCATTTTTGGTGCAGCATGTGCTGTTGAAGTCACAGGTATATTATACCACTATCTAAAGATGAGTATAAAAAAAATGTTGCTTACCGAGGCCAGGCTTTGCAGGGAGCCCGAAAGCTTCCCGTACAGGCCACCACTGGAAACCACATTACATGAGTAGCAGCTCTTTGAGTTCAGAGGCAGATTTTGATAGTCATTCTCTGAAATAAAAGAGAGAACAACAATTACATAATATATTCTATTATATTTATAAAAATATTAGGGGTGTAACGGTACATGTATTCGTCCCGAACCAAACAAATTTGTCATGAAAACAAGCTACGACAGTCACTGTGTAAATGTATATTTCACAAATGAATTGGAGAATAAAATTTACTTTATAATTAGATTTAGAAGATTTAGAAAAAAAATCGGTTTAATAAAAAAATAAGAAAAAATAAAGCAATTTTGTGTTTAGTTTTCTCCCCCTTGCCGTACCCGTACCGAACCGTGACTTAAAAACCGAGGTACGTACTGAACCGTAACGTTTGTGTACCGTTACCCCCCTAATATATATATATAAAAAAAAAATATATATATAAAAAATATATATATAGACATTAGGGGCTGTATTGTCCTAGTCGATTAGTCGATTAATTGGTCGATACGTTCTGGTTCGACCAAAATTCTGATTGGTCGATTTTTTTCCCCGCGTTCATTTCATCAGTTTTGCCCATAGACTGTAAAAAATGGTTTTGCCACGCTGAGGCGCGGTCATTTCATCAGGTGGAAAGCACTAACTGCTACTGGGGGTGTTTTCAGAGTACCCTTGCTTCACAGGTAACAGTCTGTCTTCAGAACACCCCCTTGTTTTCACCTTTTTTGGATTAGCCCAACCCAAGAGAGAACGATAAGTAGGCTATAAGGTTTGATGCTGAATATTATTTATTTAATTGTGAGAGCGTTTAATAGTCAGTCCTCTTCTAACATGTCAACAAAAAAGAAATCGATAGTGTGGCAGCATTTTGGTAAAATTGATAACGGGAAAAAGGTCGAATGCAAAGTGTGCAAGCAACCACACCTCGACGACAAACATGACATATCATCTAAAAGTGGTAAGCTCACTTGTCTGCGTTAGCTTGCCCTGTCTGTTTTGAATAGGCTATATGAACAAATCAGAATTTGCATATTTCAATGTTTTAGTGTGATAACCTAACTTTTTTATTTTTTGTTTGGAGCCTAATGCGCAATTGCGCTGTGTAGTCAGCGCTGTTTGTGTTGTTTTGAGCCTAAGATGCTTTATTTTTCAGTTATGCACTTTATTTCGTTTCTGCTCTTGATCTGGTTTGTTTAATAAATATTATTTTTTTTATTAAAGTGTGTTTATTAAGAGTAAAAGCTTTAAGTTTATAGTCTATTCGTGTCTCAGCCGCGAAGCTGATCTCTCCTATGTTCAGCCTGTGCGAGGACATGCACAGAGCGGCTGAAATGATAGTGTCTAACAGTTATAACATATGACAAAAATAATTGTCTAAATTATGTTGCATATTCCTCAACAGTTTGTGTGATGATATTACTAGTTGACAACATAGTACTATTTTCGGAAATCATAGGCTATGATATTGTGCAGGTGCACGTGATGCAACGCTGTCAGAGCCGACAGACTCGTGTGTCAAACTCATTTCAGTGCAAAATAATTCGGTCAAAAACGATTTAATATACTGCAAATAGGCTACTATTTTTTTTTATTTTTTTTTATAATTCATTTAGGCGGACAGCAAGGCTACCAAGTACTGCGCACTGTGCACAGCTAAGTAATTTAACGGGTTTTTTTTCTAACGTCATTTTTAGTCGATTTTTAGTCGAAAATGTCAGGACTTCAGTCGACCAAGATTTTCTTTGGTTGAATACAGCCCTAATACACATATACTACTGTTCAAAAATAGTCTCTTTTGCTTACCAATTTATTTGTTTAAAAAGTGAAAAGATTAATATTTTGAAATATTATTTGAATTTTTAAAAAGCTGTTTTCTATTATAATTAGTGCTGTCAAACGATTAAAATATTTAATTGCGATTAATCGCATTTATGTCATAGTTAACTCGCGATTAATCACATTTTTATCTATTCTAAATGTCCCTTGATTTATTTTTGTCCCATTATTTTTTTCTCTAATCAACATGGAAAAGTGGATCGGCTTGCTTTGTGCAAATGTTTTTTTTTACTGAAAACAATATTGGCATATACTGTAGTGTTCAATTTCACACTAACATTCACACTTGGAGCAAATAATCTTTACACAACGTAACCCTGTCCATCAACAAAAGGGTGAAAAAATACTTTGTCATACAAACAGCCCTTTCTAAGGGATCAAAACAGGGCGAAACAAAATAAAATTACAAAGTGCACATGTAAGGTAAACTAGGACTACTTTCTTTTTCTCAAGTTTGCTTTGAGCAGTCAGGCTACTGCTCTTTATTCACTAGAGGCTCATCAACCCAGCCTCTTATATCAGAAAGAATGAACGGTAGTGGTGTCACACCAAACGTGAATAGAGCGCCTGGCGCGAGTGATTTCAATGTAAAGACGCGTTTACGCGTGTCTTAAGGTCCTGCTGCTGTGAATTCACCTCATTCACGCGTCCAGTTTGCAAGAATGACGCGAGTTGAGCGTAAACTTTCCATTTAGAATCTTATTGGCATCCATTTCGGCGTCTCGCGCTCGCCATCCAATCAAAACGTAACCTTACCCTACTATTTGGCCGGCTCAAAAGCACAAACAAGTAGGGCTGGGTATTGACACAATTTTCACAATTCGATTCGATTTCGATTCACAAGCTTGCAATTCGATTCGGATTCGATTCAATATTGAATATTTTGGATATCAGGTAGAATACATGGCAAATTTTCTCAAGGAAAACAAATCTCTTAACTAATGCTGTAAACTATGGGAGTCAGTTGTAGCCTACTAGGCTTCATTAGCCTACTATAATATTGAAGGTAAAAATTAACTGATTTTTAGCTATACAAACACTTAAATTACACTTTTATTTATTTTTATAATAATAAAGTTATATGAAATATAAACATTTAAATGGTGGCTGTCATAAAAACTTGCCAGATTTATTCAAACATGCATTAAATATTGAAGAACATTAACATTTTTAATGAATATGTAATATGGTGCATATATTTAGCAAAATGCTCCTCTTTAGAGTTAATTTTTCTAGCTGACTAACGAGTTTATGGTTTTTCTGAGGTAAATGTGACGTTACATGACATTGTTTACAAGTTGTTTGACTGACGTCTTTCCACGGTTGAAACACTGATTGAGCGATTCCATGTGACATGATACGGATTTCGATAAGTTGTACTCCATCTTTTAACACACTTTCAGACGTTCATTCATGTTTATTTCGCACTGTAACTTTTATTATTAAGGCAGAAGAGGAGATCATGTGCGATCATGATCATCGATCATGTGGAGCGCGCTGCTGCTTCTCTTGAGCTGAGCTGAGCCAGAGCGATCTCACGCCACAGCGCCAAAACACTATTTACGTTTTTGAATTTCGTAAGAAAATGGACGTAATTTGAAATTTGAGACTTTATTTAGTATCCATAGTAACAAAGCGCGAAGATTATTGCGATTTATTGGATGGTATGCGCGCTACAATGTTCCATTCATTCATCAAATGAAAACAGGATGACTAATCGATTCAAGAGATTTACGAATCGATATCGGTTCGTAAAAATGAGAATCGATTAATATCGAGAAATCGATATTTTTTACCCAGCCCTACAAACAAGTGTGTGCTGCATGCCTATTGTTTTGTTTCTGGTCAAGCTAGATCTGGTGTGGTGTTGTAGTTTTTCTAACGTTACTAGTTGTTGTTACAGCATGTAAAAAAAAAACTACAACGTTTGCTAGGCCAAAAAGAACGTTAATCTCGCGATAAAAAAATTGACGCCGTTAAAATGGGTTTGCGTTAACGCCGTTAATAACGCGTTTAACTGACAGCACTAATTATAATATGTTTTTACTAGGGATGCACGATATAGGATTTTGGCCGATATTCGATATGCCGATATTTTCAAACTAATTTTGCCCGATGCCGATACCGATATCGATATATTTGTATTTTTTTTAAGTGAAAAAAAAGCTTATTAAAGCTTCTATTAATGTTCTCAGTCAAGAGCAGTGAGTGATTTCCTCTGTGTTTTGTTGTTTTATTAACATTAACGGGATAGTTATCCCAAAAATTTAAATTGTCATCATTTACTCTCTCAAGTTTCTTTCTTCTGTTGAAATTATAAAAGTTATTTGGAAGAATGTGGCTAACCAAACAGTTGCTGTACTCCAGTGACTTCCATCGTATATTTAAGCACAAGAAAGAAATGAATCCAGGTTTGAAACAACATTAGATAGACAGAATTTTTATTTCTGGGTGCAGTATCTCTTTAAAGACAAGCGGCAGAATATTATTACTGTCTCTTTAAGAACTGCACGCGAGTAACGCGACGCGTCTAATATACACGCATTTGACAAGCAGATTTTCTCTGTTTGCTTTCACTTTAGACATAACCAACTTTGTTTATGTAAACCTTGTGTGTATTTGACAGTATCAGCGCAATAAGACTCGAAGGATTAGTCCAGTATGCAGACTCTGTGACAGGCTTTTAGTTCCTGTGAGCGTCGCGTGTACGCGCTCAGAAAAGCGGATCTTAGAACAGCGCATCAGCACGTGAATGACATGTTTACCTAGCAAGACTTTGACGCACATGCAAACAATGAACTTTTGTGAATTGCAGTGTCCCGTGAGTGTAACTCTACCTCTGCGTTTACATGTGATGTGAATGTACGTCGCGTTGTACAGTATGTTGAGATGAAGGCGCCAGAATTGAACTGATAGAATGCACGATACTATGATTTTTCTTCAAATGCAGATCGTGGAGACATTTTAATCGTCCACGATCAAAAACCGTGAGACGCGCACCCCTAGTTGGAAGTTTAAGTTGCTGGCGCTCATGCTTCGTTCACGGTCGTCACGTGCGCATAGGAAACACGCCACCCTATCGGCAAGACTCATCGGCAGAAATATTCATATCGGCCGATGCCGATGATGGTCATTTTAAGCTTTTATCGGCCGATACCGATGTTGTCCCGATATCATCGTGCATCCCTAGTTTTTACCTTTTTTCATAGGGACAGAAGTGAGGAATTCAAATGTTTCCTGCTCTACAGGCGAACTGGCTTTATTCTTGCCCTTCCTCCTCCTGAAGCGGCGTGCGAGGAAGATGAGGGAGACTGCGCCGAAGGCAGTGGCGGCAAAGAGCTTCTTGGTGCCGGTGCTCAGACTCACCTGCTCAGAGAGGGAATAGAGAGACACAAGGCAACGTTTAACTTTGGATCAAGCGCACACAGAGATCAGACAGGGTGACAGCTAGGATTACATGACTGGAAATGACTGGCTGGCATTTGGCCTGAGGGATCTGATCTAATGAGCAAGTTTAAGCTAACCACAGACACAGACACATATTACTATCAAACAGTGTCTGTGTGAATGACCTAAACATAAAAGTTCCACATATGTTTTTCTGAAAAAATAACACAGAGGACCTGATCACACTAGGTTTGAACTTTGAATACATGCAAGCCTGAATGAGATTTAAACTAAAATGTTTGTCTGTTTGTCACACAAAGCTGTCATACGGCTTTAGAAGACTTCAAATACAGTGCTTGACTGAAATATAGTGTCACTTTTATGTGCTTTTTTTTTAGAGCTTGACAGCTTATCCACGACAGTGAGCTCATTGCACGCAACTCACGTATCCAAGCACTCACAGACCAATCAGACTCAGCTGCGAAATCCATCCAAGGACAGATACGTGACTAATTTAATGTTTCGCTTTTTCAAAAAGGGGATCAAAACCATTGTGACCTTGTGAAAAGCCAAGTATTAAAGCTTATAAATTAAGCTGTGCATGTATTGCTAAAATAAATAAATGCTAAAATAAACCTACTTTAAGCTGAATGCCATTTTTTTCCACCTCAATTTTATGGGCTGCATTTATTTAATCAAAAATACAGTAAAAACAGTAATATTGTGAAATGTTATTACAATTTAAAATGATTGTTTTCGATTCTATATATATTTCCAAATGTAATTTATTCCATCCTGGCGCATTATTCAGCATCATTACTCCAACCTTCAGTGTCACATGATGCTTCAGAGATCAAACATGATGATTTGCCGCTCAAGAATGATGTCTTATTATTATCAATGTTGAAAACAGTTATGCTGCTTAACATTGTTGTAACAGTGATGCCATTCAAACATAAGAGTACGTAAAAATAAAGAGTGAATTTAATACGTTTATTCATCTAGGATGCATTAAATTGATCAAAAGTGACAGTGAAGACATTTACAATGCTACAAAAGATTTCTATTTAATTACTTTAATAAATTAAAAAATTAAAAAATTGATAAATGCTGTTCATTTAACTTAATATTCATCAAAGAATCCTTAAAAAATATCACCATTTACACAAAAATGTTAAGCAGCACAACCGTTTTCAACATTGATAATAACAAGAAATGTTTCTTGAGCAGCAAATCATCTGAAAATTCATCAAAAGATGATGAAAATTCAGCTTTAACATCACAGGAATAAATTACAGTCTAAAACGCTTTTCAAATAGAAAACAGTCCTTTTAATTTGTAATAATATTTTGCACTAATAGTGTTTTTACTGTATTTTTGATTAAATAAATGCAGGCTTGGCGAGACTTCTTTCTATATATAGCCTACAGTATATATATATATATATATATATATACTAGGCCTTTACAGACACATGGATTAACCCAGAGAAAATAAAAAAAACTTTCCCTAATATAAAATATTCCCTATATAAAAAGGGTAACACTTTATAATAACTATCATTAATAGTAACATTGAAGCTAAAATGTGTACTAGCTGCAAAAAACTAATGTTTTCACACAGGTTTTCCCAAAAACTCCTGCTGTTAGGACAAACAGATACTTTTGCCACAAATTCACACCAATGAATAAGCCAATGCTGAACAAAAGCACTTTGTTTACACTGTTTGTGGGAAGCAACCTACAAATGCCTGGCTCACAGTCCTTGCACATCGCCTTTAAAGTCACTACGAAATCAAAATGGACAATTCTTGCCAAAGAGCCAATAAATTCCCCATTGACATAATCAAGTCCCATCCTAATTATTTTTGTTTGTGAGAATAAATAAATGTGTGTATATATTAAAAATAAAAATAAATTGTATACATCTAAGCCCAAGGCTGCATTTCCAAAAAAAGCATCGTAAGTCTAAGTAGATTGCAGAACCATTGCCACCAAACTTAACTCACAATGCTTTTGAGAAACGCAGCCCAGGTCGACAACCCTGGATTTAAACCCTATTTCTGGATGACAATGCACAAGTCAATAAGCTTGTGAAACAGAAGTGCCTGGCTTTATTTCTGTCCACTGTTGGTCAGTTTACCTGTGGAAGAGAGTAATAGACCGACAGTGGAAGGTCCACAAAGTGCAAAGCGGCCACCTTCATGGACACGCGAGAGCTCCTGAACACGTCCTCCGTCATGATCCCATAATTCCTCGGGATGAGTCTCAACCGCAGCTCTTTCTCCACTTCACCAATACAACCTGAAGAAACACATCACTTGTGTTATATCTATATGTTTAAATCAGCATCTACCAATGGAAAGAAGGAATGACCACCTGACCTGCCAAACCTCAACTGACACTTATCAAGAATCTTATCAATTGTTCACTTGAGTCTGACACACACACAGTTATTTTAAAGAAGTTCAAACAGTTATTCTCTAAATGGCCATTGACCAGAGAATAACTGTTTGAATATTATGAACTCTTCGTCTACGTAACAGCCCAAAACAAGCAATATTGCTCCTTGAGAATCAAGAAAACATGCTTGAATCAAGACTTTTAAACCAATAGAGGTTAAATTAAATATTTGTCATGTTAACGTCGTGATTCAATGTTAGCACCACTGATCATGGCCATAAATAAAAAGTAAGACCTTTATAAAAAAAATGACCCACATTTATCATTTTTTATATTTCGATCGTCGCTCTTGGTTAACTCTGTGTTAAACAAATTAATAACAGGCAACATCATACATTCTGACAGTGAAAGCAGTTAATGTGGGTTTGTAATCTAAGTACAACATGAACATGACAAACATGGGGTAATGCTTACATTTTTATGCCTTATATCGGCGACACGCCATCTGTCCTCTATCACTCAATGCGATAACTGTAACTGCGCGTGTGAGCTAGTGTGGAGGAGGCGAACAGACGCCGCTAGAACTCCCTTCCGGTGCCACTGCGAGGTTCCATAATAAAAGTTTTCAATCTGTAAGAAAATGAAAACAATAAGCAAAAAATAAAAAAACTACATAACTACCTAAAAATAAATAAACCATTTTAATAAAACAAAAAATATTAACTAATAAATAACATTTTGTTTAAAATGATAAATTAATACATTATATTTATACATTAAAACCAGTAAATACATTTTAATTTAAATAAAATAAATAAATAAAATTATTTGATTAAATAACTAGAAATTATTTAAATGAATAAATACAAGTTAATATAAATAAGTAAAAAACAATACATTTGATTAAAATAAATAAATAAATACAATTTGATTTAAATTAAAATGAACTACATAAATAAAACATTTTAAAATAATAAATTAATACATAGGATTAAAATAAGTAAATAAATAAATACAAACATGATTTAAATCTATACAAATATTAAAAAAATTAATAATACAAACTGATATAAATGAATAAAGAAATACATTTGATTAAAACAAATTACTAAATAAATAAAATTTGACTTAACTACAATTATTAAAATAAATAAATAAAATTTGATATAAATATGTAAAAAAATTATACATTTGATTAAAAAATGTTAAAATAAATAAATATACACAATTCTATTTAAATTAAAATAAGAGACAAGAAACAAGATAAACATATTTTAAAATAATAAATTAATACATTGGATTAAATAAGTAAATACAATTTTATTTAAACAAATAAATATAAATGTGATTGATAAAAAAATACAATTGAATTAAATTAAATTAAAACTAAATAAATAACTAAAACTTGCATTTAATAAAACTAAATCAATAAAAAATTAGAAAAGCAGTGTAGAATAATAAAATATACAAATAATAATAATACAATATTATTAAACTAACTATATAAATTACAATAAATTGAATAAAATAAAGTAAACGTGAAATAAATAAATAAATAAATGATAAACTAATACATTTGATAAAAAATAAATATATTAATAAAATACATCTAAGTCACATCTACAGTGTGATTAGAAAAAAACCCGCAATGATGTAATAGTAACATAAACTGAATAGTTCTCACATTTAAAATTCTTAAACAATTAAAATAATAAAATTTTAGGATGGATAGATTGAAAAGCCCTGCAGGTGTAGTTCTCTCTGTGTCCGCACCGGGGCGTCTGGGCTGGGACAGTCCTCACAGATCCCGGGCTCAACGCGCTTCTGCTGCGAGTGAGTCGCTCCGCTCGTCCACACTAGGCGGCGTTCACTCTCTCACACTCTCATCCGCGCAACCGGAAGGAGCTGTTTGAATGTGTCATACCATGTAGCTCCAGTCTGAAGTTAAACAGCCCGATGATGCCAGGCGTTTGAAAACCTGCTTTCTGCAAACGGAAGAATACTACAGATAATGTAGCTGACACACGCCGAAAGACCGCCATCTTTCAACCGCCTCTCTCTCCATCAGCAGATCAGAAGCGACAATCGATCCATATTTAAACCATCGTCCATTTCCCTAGAGGTGAGCTAACGTTACTATTATATCAGATCTGAAATATGGCGTATTTAAAGCTTTCCATCCAGCTGAGTGAATATTAACCTGCGCATTGACTGTGTGCAGTGTCAACTGTGATATGAGCTGTCAGATGATGTGACTTTAGCTTTAGCCCGTCGCATTCACACGCCTTCTGCCTGCCCTTCATTCACATTAAACGCCTCATTCAGTGACAGTCTGCAGGGACTTCAGCTGTTCTTGTGGTTGGAACTATAGAAAGATTTGTAATTGTTGGAAAAACTGCGTTGAAGTATGTGCGTGACAGCAGGCAGCTAGTTGCTAACTAGCCTAGCGAATATTCTGGCTAATGCTGACGCGTTACTGGAGTGACGTCACACACACACACAGCTGAGGCCCGTTACTGTACATTAATATACTGTACTGTACTGTACTGGACTACATTTAAGCCCTCCTAGTGTGCAACTGTTTGTTACATTTATGATGTATTTTATTGCATTCTTTAATATTTGGAACATATAATTAATAAAAAACTGCACATTAATATACGTGACTTACTGTACATTAATGCACAATGCTATGTATGTGAGTATACTGAACAGGATGATAATTATAACGATGCTGATCATATTCGGTGGTGTCATCTAAAATATTGAAAACCCCTGATTTAATAAAGGTTTAGCTTTCTATAAACTCACTAACCTCCTTCAGTTCCCTTGGGAACGCCAGTTTGGGAAATCCAGCCATATAAAATGGAGCAGTGCTAATTAACACATATGCACTAATTGTCTTGTGCTTACGGTATATTTTCAGAGGAGTTAATGATATTTTCTAGGTATCTCATCTGACAGTGTGGCCTTATTGAAACTGTTCTTTTAGCATCCATATCTTAGTATTCTTGCCTTTTCTGCTAAACTGGTTAGTCAGTAGATATTTAAAGATACAATTTTATGATCTTATTTTTGCTTTCGGTTTATATAAGTTTAAAATATGATGAGGTTGTATAGTATAGTATGTGCACAGGCCATAAAGACTGTACATGCTTGTATGCATTGGGCTACAGGTTATAGATTGAGTACTGAAGGCTCAGATAACGTTTTTTTAATTTTTTTTAGTGTCGTAGTGTAGATTTATGGCAGAAGACATGAAAGTGTTTTACTACCCTTGTGAAACATGTATTTTGATGCGTTGACTTGCATACTAAAGCACATCTAAAGTACTTGATTATAATTTTGAACTGTAGTGCGTTGTTCAATGTTACCTTTAAAGTTAATATTTTGTAATGTACTAAATTGCAGCTTATTCATAATGTGGCTACATACTATATGTAAATACACTACAAATTCACAAATGTCAATAGAAATGACATTACATTTTAATTTTGCACAGTTGTTTGTCAGTACATTCAGCAGTACACAATAACCATATTTCAAAGACAATAGAATTATGAAATCACATTAAAAATGTACTGAAGTCTTACTTGACAAAGTTCAACTATTTGCATTTAATATCAATTTAAACTAGAGCACATTTCCTGTTAATTGCAATCCCATGCAAATACGTTTCAGAAAACATTGCATTTGTTTTACACCAGCGTTCTTGTAAAGTGCATTATTTCCATATATAAGTGTACTCTTTTTGAAAGTGTAATTTTTCACAAAGGTACACTTCATAAACATGTTCTTGTTCCATGCTATGCAAATTGGCAAGAGGTTATTCCATCGTTCATGAAATAACAGATATCTTTGACGTGCTATTGATATTCACTCAGCGCAGTCCTGGTCTAACTCGCTTCTGGCGTAATACTTAGGCTTTACTACCCAAGTGTGTGTAATAAAGTGTGTTCATTTAGTCCGCTTGGCCAATATGGCGTCCGTCCAGTGTGTTTAACCCTGATACAGATGTCTCTGTTGTGTAAAGTGACAGATCGTATGTGCAGAGAATGCACAAAACCTCATTACTTTTTACCTGTGGTTTTATTCTGTTAAAGAACTAAACGTTTATTGAAGACCTTATTGAAAAAAAAAAGGGGTTTGTGTTACAGTTGTGTTGGAAAATGAAGAAAACAGTTACTTGTCAGTAGGACATTTTTATTTTTGGTGAACTTTCTGTTGTAAGACTATATAAAATGTTTTAATTTTAGTGTTTTAAACAGTAGGCCTATTTGTTTAATTCTTGCTAATTTCCTGACCAGTGATTTGTGATTAAAATTAAGAAGACCATTAAAAGACCACTTAATATTTTTCCAATTTTGGCTTGGCCCATTTTTCTATGCCCATTTGTTTTGTTTTTCTCTATGGTTTCTGGGTCATTTTGTGATGTGATGTTGCTGTTTTCACCAGGTTGTAACATGCGTCTCCTTTGACCACATGTGTTCATGTTTCGAGGGGATGCTCTCTGATTTCATTTGAGACACACCAGGATGCCTTAGGCTGTGTCCGAAATCTCCACTCAAACCACTACTCCCTAACCCCTATGTAGGGGGTAGGGAGTAGAGCACTATATAGTGAGCTCACCAGCATAATAGAAACACCACTTTCGGACACTACTCGATCGTCTCTCGGCGCCGTTGATTAAACGCGCCATCATCTGTCAGCTGGTGCCGAGCCAGCTCTGGGCTAAATAGATTTTTTTTATTATAAATAAATACATTACATTATATTGAGCTTATTTCTCCAAAATTGTAAAATTAAAAGTAATTTCTGGCCGTTTCTGTTATAATTCGTTTCTCCACACATGATTATAACTTATAAACATAAATAAAATTAATACACATATTTCATATATTTTCATTTTCGCGCCACACCGTTTTCTCTTGCCTGTCGACATTAGGAAAAAAAAACAGATCTACGTTATCAAATATCTTGCTCATAATACTCTTAATAAAACAGCTTTTAGACTCTGTGGAGATGCCACTCAATATTTATCTTTTTTGTTTGTTTGTTCTCGTGATTCAGAAGATTTTGCGGATTAGCAAAAGAAACAGGATTTCTAGACACAGAAAACGACGTGCTGTTCTTGCTACGCTAGCGAGTTGTCGTCAAATTGTAAGTTAAAGATGAAGATGATGCTGATAGGTCTTTTACGATCAGCGCAATGCATGATGTTATGTAGGGCTTGGGTTAGTGACCATCGGTTGTACACTACTTTTCAAAATGCATTCTGGGATACATTGAGTGGACTATATAGGGTATAATAATCATCACTATAAATTCGGACAGCACTACAAAATGGCGAGCTCACTATATAGTCCACTATATAGTGAGTAGTGGGAGATTTCGGACACAGCATTAGTGTTACAGTTGTGTTGGAAAATGAACAAAACAATTACTTTTGTCAGTAGCCTAGGACATTTTTATTTTTGGTGAACTTTCTGTTGTAAGAAGACTAGGGCTGGGCAAAAAAATCGATTTTTCGATTAATCGTTTTTTAAAATGTGGTCGATTCAAAATCGATTCTCAACGGCCACGAATCGATTTTTTCCATATTCAGGGCTCGCGGTGCTGCATCTTCTCACTCTGCACAAGGCAAGCGTCAAGCGCTGCAGGCGTCGATACACACTCGTGTTTAGGAGTCGGGACATGATTCACTTGCACAATCGGGCCAGCATTGCATCGTAACTAACGTTTATTATTTTCACGCCTTTTTAAAGGGGTCATATAATGCCATTTTTGTACAAGCTAATATGATTCTTTAGGGTCTAAATTAAAAGTTTGTAATATACTTTAATTAAAAATTCTCATTAGTATTGTAAGAAAACACTTATTTTACCTGGTCAAAAAGAGCTCTGTTTTCAGCACGCCGTTTCAGTGCATATGACTTTAAATGATAATGAGCTTTGCTCACCCCGCCTCTCTGTTCTGTGCGTACACCATTTGTAACACAATAACCATAACGCGTTGTTCATTATAAACGTGGGATTATGAATTATATTGAGAATGTCGTACATAGAAAACATGCCGTAATGTACCCTGTGTGTAAACCTTAGACTCATTCATCGTGAAGCGTGCAAGCGATTTGCAAAGATATAAATATTAATATAAAGTTTAATAAAACGTTACACTCACTTCAGTTGTTCTAGAGGTTCAGCAGGAACACGAATATCTGGTACCGATCCTTTATTCAGGAGCAGCTTCTTAGCAAAACCAGCTTTATACTGATCCTCGTTGTCGTTTATAAAGCAGTCTGGTGAGAAATGATTTGCGCAAACATGAAAGCATTGACGTTGCTCGTGGGGAATATTCCCTTCGAAAACAAACTCAGCCACTGCGTCTTCAGCGGTTCGGATTTGGGAACATTAAAATGACTGCTGTGTTCGTTATTACACCCAAGAACAGAACACCAATCGCTTAGACGCCATTCTGCTCATAGACAGTGCTCCAGCATATCAACAATGACCGCGCCGGTCTGCGCAGACTATGATTGACAGCTGGCTCACGAGCGAGGGCGGGTCTGTGTTGAAACGCTCCTGTCAATCAACAATCGCGGGAGGGGCGTCCGACCGTGTGACGTCACAGGCTCGAACGGCTCGATTTGAGGCAGGGGAAAACATATAAGGAGATTAAAACAAAAACACTGGATGGATTTTTATCATTATATGATGGTTGTGCACAGGCACTGCCAACACACATTTCAGTACAACCAACTTGAAAAAGTGCATGTACCATTATATGACCCCTTTAAAGTTTTACCAGTTTAAACATTCAAGCAATTTTAAACTATCCTTAGACTATATAAAATGTTTTAATTTTAGTGTTTTAATGGGTTAGTTCGCCCATTTAAGACATGAAGTTGTATGCAATCCTTACCAGCACTATAGTGCATACACACTGACCCACTCTGTTGTCACCTCCCTGGTCAGAGTTCTGGCCGCTGGAAGTTTTTCAATGAAGTACTCCCATTTATTTTCCGGGGCCACAAAACTGTGCGTTTTTACGTGAAAAAATGATTTGCGTTTCAAAGCTTGATTAATTTACCACACAAAAACGCCGGTCAAAATTCATACCTCA